CACAACAGTCAGATTAATTCTGGCTTTGGCTTCCATTTATAACTGGAGTATTAATCAAATGGATGTCACCAATGCCTTTCTTCATGGAGATTTGGAGGAGGAAATATATATGACTTTTCCACAGGGGTACACTCCAAGACAGGGGGAGACATTGCCAAATAAACCTGTTTGCAGGCTTGTCAAGTCTCTCTATGGTCTTAAACAGGCTTCTCGCCAATGGTTTCATAAATTTTCAGGTGTTCTACTTCAACATGGGTTCATTCAATCTCCTTTTGATCCCACCTTGTTTGTGAGAACAGCCTCAGGAATTTTTCTGGCTTTACTTGTATGTACGACGGGATAGCTATTCAAAGCAAAGAGTTTGATTGTCGATGACATTTTACTTGTAAGCAACAGAGATTCTGCAGTTTTGGAAGTCAAGACTTTTCTAGCACAGGAATTCAAGATAAAAGACTTGGGACAGATGAGATATTTCTTGGGTTTGGAGATTGCTAGGTCCAAAGAAGGTATTTCTATCTGTCAGAGAAAGTATACATTGGAATTGCTAGAAGAGTTTGGTCACCTTGGCTGTAAGCCATTTCCTACACCTATGGAGTTGAATCTTAAGTTGAGTGAGGACAAAGGAGATATACTGGATGATGCTTCTTACTACAGAAGATTGATTGGTAAACTGGTTTACTTAACAGTAACAAGACCAGATATCTCTTTCGCTGTCAACAAGCTCAGTCAGTATGTCAAAGCTCCAAGAAAGCCTCATCTGGATGCTGCCAACAGAATTCTTGGTTATCTGAAGAATGATCCAGGTCAAGGCTTGTTATATCCAGCAACTTCTTCTTTGACTCTTAGAGCATTTGCAGATGCAGATTGGGGAAATTGTCCGGAGACAAGCCGATCAATTTCTGGTTTCTGTGTCTTTCTTGGTGATTCCTTGATATCTTGGAAATCCAAGAAGCAAGATGTTGTTAGTCGCAGTTCTGCAGAAGCTGAATATCGAAGCATGGCTAATACAACCTGTGAACTGCTATGGATAAACTCTCTTCTTGAAGATTTGCAGGTTCCTTTAGCTGACACCATTGTGATGTATTGTGATAACCAAGCAGCTCTACACATCGCTAAGAACTCTGTTTTTCACGAGCGCACCAAACACATAGATCGTGACTGTCATGTGGTTCGTGAACGCGTAGCTTCTGGTTTTATGAAAGTACTTCACATTGGCACACAACATCAGCTTGCAGATCTGCTCACCAAACCACTCACTGAGAAGCAATTTGATCATCTATTGTCCAAGATGGGATTACATCACTTGTACTCTCCATCTTGAGGGGGAGTATCAGATAATATATATTGGTTTAATCTTTTGGTTTATTTCCCTCTCTTGGTTTGCTATTGATACTCGGTTTAGTGGTTTGTATTTAAACAACAACCTTATGTTATTATTGATTTAATGAAGCATTTTATAAAGATAAGAAAAGGTTGTTAGATCTGAAACATAGGTCTAGTGGCGGACCTAGATATAAAATTTAGGAGGGTCAAAAAAAAATATAAATGACTAATATTGTCATATTAGTGACTCGAACTCTGGAAAGGGGTGTCAATTCCAAGAGACTTACCATTTGTGCTGTTGGAATTTCATACATTTCTATGCAAAAAAAATATTTGACCAATTTTACCTGGGTCACTTGACCGTCCTTTTCATTCACTAGGTCCGCCAATGGGTCTAGACCATACATATTATGATGATTTCTTTTATATATCACCCTTAACATGGGAATTATTCAATTATTAATGTAGGCCTGTCGATATATTTAATGGAATTATTATACGTACAAGTATAACTGAAAGCAACTGTTTTCATCAGAGAAACGATTATAAATGCCTTTAAAATGACATCAATTAGGGTAAAAAAATTGGGTACAAAAAGCTAGCCATTTAACTTATTGAAAAGATATTTTCTAATATTCTATTTGAGTTGAATCATACTTGAATACTAGAATTTAATTCAATTCAAATGGAATGTTAGAAAACATCTTCTCTTGTACCAAATTTTCGATAAATTATATGGCTATCTTCTCGATAAGTTATATATATGACTAGCTCTTGTACCAAATATATATAATTTTAACATATTTCTAATAGTTCATTTTCAGTCATCGAATCTCTTTTTTTTTTTTGTTAAAATTTTCAGTCATCGAATCTCTTAGTCAATATATATATATATATATATATATATTTTTACTTATATAATATATATATGTAAGTGTTTGTTGTTTGCAAGAAACAATTTTTACTTTAAGACGAGAGAGATAATTAAAGAGAGAGTAAATGGCAAAAAAAACAGCAGAATAAATACAGCTTATATATTATAAACAAAACCAACGACTTTGCTTCAATTTGTAATTGAAATATGCATATTTTTAGTGTTTTCAATTTATTTCAATTATATATATAAATATGAATTAGAAAACATTATATTCTGTCAGGTTTACGTTGTGGTGAATAAAATATAAGAATGTCAGCACAAGCTCTCACTTTTAAGGTTTGGATAAGTTTTCGTTTTCTGTTTTCCTAAAAATGACAGATTGTTTTCTTTTATTTTTAAGCTATACCTCGACTTAGGATAGGTGATGCAGTCAGTCATGATAAATATACATATACGATATAGAAAATTGAATACAAAACAGAATATTTGTTCAAACAATCAAATTTTAGAAAATTGAAATAAATGCTAACTAGAGTCTATAATTCTATTCTCGCCCGACACGTTAACCAGAAAAAAAAAAACATTTTATCACCATTAATATGCAACAAATGCCTTTATATACAGATGCCTTTAAAGGCCCAGGTTACTATAGCAGCCCAAATCCATTAACCTGTTTCGGTTTACCTAATTGAAAAGTTTTAAACATTTTTGAAAATTTCATGCCAATAGTTAGCAAATAGCAAGTATGTAAAGAAAGTTTTAAGAAACTAAAAATAAATATAAGATATATACTAAACTAATAATATACCAACAAATAACCGCCTTTTAGGGTAAATATAATTGCATATTAGCTACAATCTTGAATGTAGCTAACCTGAAATTACATAGTAGTTAAGACAATATAAATGAAAACAATCTGATTTGTGTGCATATGTGATGAAAGGCTTTTTCCTAGCATAATAATTTAGAGTTGTTCAACTAATAATGAGAGATGGATCAAAACTTAACCATAATTATTGTGATTAATATAAAGAAGTGGGAACGCAAACCTTCACCATAACTAGCTCATATTTTTATCAAATATATTGAATTACAATTTGAGCCAATCCTGGTCTAGTGTTATCGTCGATCCTTGAAAGGTTTTTAACTTTTTAAGACTTCGTCTTTTAATTTAACTAAAATATGTGGAGATCTATCGAGTTTGAGCACCCCGCGAGTTTCGAGACATTAGCTATGCACATTGAGTTATCGTACTGCACTTTTCAAGATTCTTGCCAAGAACTACCTTAATCTTGATGGTGATGAAGCTCATCCCTTATTCAGAGAAATCAAGGCTTTGTTGGAGGAGACAATGATTTCCCCAGCTGATGTCGCAGAGAATCTTATGGCTAGAAACCATCAAATCGATCTTGAAAAATCCCTGAGCCTTCTAATCAACGCTCTAGAGGAAAAGAAGGATAACCAAAACAGCCAAGAAGATAAGAAGAAACCAAAAAAGTTCAGAATGTTTGGTTGAGCGTTACTATTTAGCTCAATCTCGTCTGTTTTACTGCTTTCTCTAATAATAATAGAACAAAGTAAGAAGATATATACAACATTGTGAATCGAGAAATTGAAAGAGAGAAACTAAATTAAAAAGTAGAGTACAAAAATGTAACAAAAGAAACACTTGAGGACATAGAAAGGATTGTCCCATCCTATGAAGTCCATGAAGGGTTTTGAGTTTGGCTTCGTCTAGGAAGTGACGCTTTTAAGTTGCTGCTTGTTATGCAGATTGGAAACCCTAAACGGCGAGTGTAAGGCAATTCTTGGGGTGCAAGGCTTCTCTGCTCTGCCTCTTCACTGTTTCCATATGTCTTTACAGTTTTGGTCAATCTCGTTCTCTTTTGTTGCTTAGTTTTTTTTTTTTTTCACACTCGAATCTTTTGCTTATAAATTTTTGTTTGTTTCGTTTCATAATTCAAATTATTTTTCCTTCATGCATGTAGTATTATACTGTAATGATTTAAACCTAGTTACGGTAATATAAATTAAAGCAATATGAAATCAAATGATAAGATTAATTTTTATGCATGCGCATACGTGATCAAAGCTTTGCCTAAAATTCTAAGCAGGAAGATTCGTAGTTGTTTAACTAGTGAGAAATGGGAGAAACTGCCAAATTCGGGGTTATTATGAATTTTCAACTGAAAATTAATTGGTAGTGAGTGGATTAGCTCTAACTCCTTATACATTATTTAAGTTCTCTATAACAATTTTTATGTGAGATTTTTCTCCACACGCCCCTTCGAGATAATTGTTATTCTAGCCATTAGTCTCGTCATCATGTTTTTTTTTCTAGCTATGTTGATGGAACTAAACCTTCCTTTGAATCATCAATTAATAAGGTGATCTGGATTTTTTCTGGACCAAATTAATTAACGGGTCATCGTCTGTTAGTTTTTGATATCGTGCTAAATTAGAGATTATTATGGACTTCCAACTCAAAACTTATTGCTAATGAGTAGATTAGTCCTAACTCATTATATCTTATTTAAATCCCATCCCATATTTGAATGTGCGATCTGTCTATAAAAACTTTATATATGAGAAAAAGGCCGACTCCAAAGTTGGAACTCAAATATATTTTTGTAGATATATTTCTTTGTCTTTTAAAGATTTAAAGCAAGACTAATTATTATATCGATAAAATATCATATTATGATGGTTGAGAGATGAAAACATAAGGTGGTGAATAATGCCAAGAAATTCGAAGGAATGGTAGAGAACTTATGATGATGACGAGCTTCTTCTTTGAGGTTTAGTGCTTTCCTCTATTCATGAGTTTGTGCCAATGATTCTTCACGGCAGTGTCAGTTCTTCCAGAGAGAATCTTAGCTATCTTAGACCACTTGTTCCCCATTTTTTTCTGACATGCAAGTAGTATTGCGTCTTCTTCATCAGTGAAAGCTTTCTTATTAATATTTGGATCAAGATAACCAACCCATCTCATTCTGCAACTCTTGCCTTCAAAAATAAGAAAAAATTATAAAAGTTTCCGCATGATCAGTAGCAAAACTGAAGAAAGCACATATTTATTTATTAAAATACCTGTTTTCCCTAGCATTTTGTCTCCAATTTGCTTCCAGTTTTGAGGACCAGAAACAGCCACAAGCTCTTTGAGTTGCAAGTCCTCTGAAGGTGTCCAACGTTTCCTCTCTTTCTTCTTTTCATGTGTCACTCCCATTAATGCATCGTTTTCTCCAGATCCATTAGATGCTGGTCCCTGCAATGCAACATCAAAAAGGATATGTTGGGACACTTGAGTCTTTAAAGTCTCTTGATGTACTATTATTTATTGTATGACAATGTTTACGAATTAGGTATCCGGAGATGGGTAATTTGATTTTAAAGGTCCATACATGCATATCAATTCCGAACCCACTTGGTAAATAATAAGAGGGGTGTATTCAAAATGGAATTTTAAGAGATTTGAGTTTTATTAGTTTTTAAATGAATTTGAGATTTTAAGGAAGTTCATATGACTTTTGTAAACTTCTTTCAAATCTCACCAAAAACCATAGGACTTAGTTTTCTGTATTTGTCAATGCAAGGAAACATACAGAATTTTGACTACCGTATTAATTGGTCCGAATTTCGTAGGAACATTATCATTCCTTCAATTTTCCGACCAAAATAGAATTGTCAGAAAATGTTGGCCGTAAATCTTAATTAGTTGACAATTAGTCAGAAATTTTGGATCACTAACCTAATCGGGAATTGGCCGGAAAATATAGTCGAATTGAAAAATGTAATCGGAAAATGTAGACGGAAATTGGTGAAAACAAATTTAATAATATGTTAACTGATAAATTAATTAAAAATATACAAGGGGAATTGATTTGTACCTTGAATTCTGACAAAGTAGACTCCATCGAAGTTACACTCGAATCTCGGTAGATCAACTTAATTAGAAAATATGCGACGCCGTCAATATTAGAAATTAACAGATGAATAATGACCAACATATATAGGCTATGCATTTAATTCTTTACCTAATAAAGGAAATGTTTTCATTTAACACTCTACCATAAATTTATAGAAATGACTGTGTTTTAAGTGATAAAGTTTTGACTCATTTTTGGGTAATTTTGTAAAGAAGAGTTTTTGAAAATTAAGTAGCCAAAAAATTGGTTTGACTATAGATTCAATTTAAGTTATACTATTTAATTCTAATCTATTTCAAGTTTTTAAAGAATTTATACATTTTATTAAAACTTGACTAATAATAATAATGTTGTGAATATGTTGATTTATTTATATATTGGATGTCTATTTGTACATATAAACACATCATTTCTTTTTACGAAGTATCTTTCCATACTTGTGAACTTTATTCAATATAATAATTCAGTGTCAAAATAAAAAGTCAATCATCATTTGTATCAATGTGTTTTCCAAAATACATTGTAACCAAATATATGTAAGAGCTCTAGTAACCCAAATTCGTACATAATCCACAAAAACAGACTCGTACAAAGAAATATACCTAGCACTCTATAAATGTGTTAAACTTTGAAAAATAGTTGTCACTTCTTCTAAAGTGGTTATTATCTGGCTTAACAAACATAGGTTTATATATCAACTTACAATCAGCGATGAGTCTGATGAAATGATGGTTTTAAAGTTGGGAATGGAGGAAGGTTTTGGCTATTTTTTTTTTGTTTTTTTATTTATTTAAATGTAAAATGTTTTTCAATTCGTTATTGCTAATTTACATCGTGCGGGTTTAATGCTATTTTGTTTTAATTGTCTCTTTTGTTCTTTTAACATATAAATTTTATATAAGTATCATACACGATTAGCAGTAGTAAAGTGAACTGATTAGAAATAGTTTCTTTCATAATCAACATATAAATAATAATAATTTCAATATATTCCTTAAGAAAACATATAAAATGGTGGATGATCCTTCGATAGATTCAACAATCTATGGACCAATGATGACAAGAGCTTCATAATTTTGATTCCGGATGTTTTTACCATCCAATATAAAGTCGTACACGTACACATATTCTAATAGACTTGATACTGATACATGGTGACGCTGTTAAGTTTGTTTTTAACAAAGCTTTTGACACTGGAAACCCTAAACGACAATGTCAAGGCTCCTTAATTACGCATTGATTTACAGAAATATGGAATTTCTTCGTGTGCAAGGCATCTCTGCTCATAAAAGATCTTGTGCTTTAGGTTAATTGCATAGATTTGGTTGATCATACAGATTTAAAACCCCTAAAGCCTTCTCATTAAATAAACACGTATGACAAGACAAAATCTATCCATTAGATAGAATTTTGGTACATACGTTTCTACCAAGACTGACTGACCATATCAACCGACAAACGATAAGTTATATCAAAAAAACATATATTATTTTAATACATAGGATATGGGGACGAACGATATCATTAAAGCCAACCCAAATAAAAAAATAAATAAAAACTAAATTTATTGATAAATATTGCAATTATTCTAAACAAATCAACAGTAAATAATTCATGAAAAAACAAGAAAAAAAAAACCAAACAAAAGAATAGGTTCTAAATAGTTAAGTAATAGAAATGGGTTCAATCTGCCTTAGTGTTCGGTGTGTGCAACACCAAACACATAAAGTTGCTAACATGACGATGACCAATATAACTACAAAGGATCCGATAAATTGCATGAGGTTAGACTCCATATTGTTGTTTCTTCACCCACACATTCAAAACTCTCTTCTTTCTTACTTTTTTTTTTCTCTTGTTTTTTTTTCCCTTATTGTTTTCGGATGCAAATTATATATACTTAAGGATTATTATATGTGTATTTTACATTTTTGTTCATAAATCAGAATAAATTGTATTGTTTACATTTCACAGTTTTCACTTTTTACTATTAAGGAATCTTAACTAGGAAAATTAGGAAACTATACATTTTATCATTAAGGAGCATTTACTAGGAAAATATAAAGAAAATTCACATCTAGTGTAACGATTTAAAAACCTAGTACAATCTAGTGTAAACGATTTAATTAAACCTAGTTGAAACAGTGTGAAATCATATCTTACGAAAGCCTTTAGTTTCCTACAAACTTTTTTTTTCTGCCAAATATGTAAATAAGCATACATTAGAGATAGATATATACAACCTTAGTCATAAATTATGATTAAGAAAAAAGAAAGCAAACATGAGAAGAAAGACCAACTCAGCTCCCATGCAAGTATATTTGTATAGTAGAATTATCTTTCTCAATTCTTTTTTCTTCTATTAGATTTTAATTTAAAGTTTTTAGGCTTTAAAAACGTATTGTTATTCTATAGTGACTTCAATCTATGTTAGTTCTCTGAGTAACTCACAAGATAGAATAACAGTAAGTTTTACTGAAGCTTAAAAGTTCTTGTGACAACAATTAATCTTTTGAAGCTAAAACTTTTATTTTATTGATAGGTCACACAATTAAGAAAGTTCTCATTTTTTTTTTCTCCTCTTAAGTATCTCCTACCCCAAGAAAATCAATGAACTTTGGTGGCACTCTAGTCTTAGCTTCCGTCTTATTTTTTACTTCTAATGGTAAAGAACTAATGATGATGAAGATGGTTGAGAGATGGAAAGATTGAAGGTGGATAATTCCAAGGACAATGCAGGAGAGGCAGGAACTGATGATCATGACGAGCTGATGAGTTCTCCATTGCTTCTGTATGCTTAGCAAGGTTAGCAGCTTCCTCTTCTTCTTGCTTCATCAACTTCATTTTCATAAGTCGGTGCCGCCGATTCTTCACTGCATTGTCAGTTCTTCCAGGGAAAAGCTGAGCAATCTTAGCCCACTACGTGTTCCCTACTTCTATCTGAGCTGAAAGCTTCTTTGTCGATCATTGGATCAAGCGTATGAAACCATCTCACTCTACAACTCAAACCTTTCAACATATAAAAAGGATTGAAGTTACCAAAAAAACAAAAGAGTCATGAGTACAAAACACGAAAGCACATTTGTTTTTTACCTGGAAGGCTGGAACTTGCATTTTCTCTCCAATGTGCTGCAGTTTCGAGTGCCAGAAACAGCCACAAGCTCCTTGAGTTTAAAATCATCTGAAATTCTCCATTGTCTCCTATCTTTATGCATTTTGCTTCCCACTATTAATGCATTGTTTTCTCCAACACCATTAGATGGTGATGATGGTCCCCGCCATGCAACGTCAAAAGAGTATTTTGGGAAATATGAGTCTAAAAAAAAAAGGTGTGATGACTACTATCTCTACCCATACAGTATCTATACTATTAAAACAGAAGGACAAGCTGTGTGCAAACAGTCCCAAAAAAAATATATTAAAAAATATGTAAATCCAAACCTGTTGCCAAACAGAACTAAAGACAGCAAAAAAATAACTAAACCAAAAAAAAAATATCTATATTTATGGAAACTATATTTTGTTTCCATAAAAAGTGGACAATTAAATTCAAAAATTTTACATGTAAACATATTTTTAAAAAATTTTTTAAAAACAATAATTTATATTTAATCAATTCTAATAAAACAAATCATCATATATTTTTTTTAAAAATTGATATATGAAAAATAAAAAGAAAAATAAATATGTTAGATTAGGAAATAAATGACTAATCAAATTCTACAATAGCATAAAATGTGGAGTCATAATAATCAGAACTGATTATATCATGAAAATATTAATAATTATAAAATCTTAAAAAAATCATTAATAATTTTTAAATAAACTTTCTTCAACAAATCAATAATAATTTTTTTTTCTAAAATCAACGTAATAAAAATTTTATATCACATAAAAACCTTTTATTTTCACATAAAAATCTTCATAAACAATCTCGCAAATATAGCAAAAAAAAATAAATCTTTTTGAAATATATTGATT